TCTTTCCCTTCACTCGGCATTTCTTGGGAGGGGCTGACCTCTGGGGGTGCTGCTCGAGGAGGCCTAGGAACGTGGGGTCCTGGGTACAGACCTGTCGCCAAGGCAATGATTCTCCCGAGAGCTCCCTCCGCCAGCCCCAAGGTACCTGGGCTCCTTGGTGAAGCTGCCAGGGCTGCTGGCCACAAGGAGGCCCTGCGCTGTGTGTGCAGGAACAAAGCACAGCGGGGGGCCAGGACCAGTAACCAGATCTAAGGAGCGAAGGTTGACTTTGCTGAGCCTTAAAGCCTCTTGAAAAACAGCCCAGGGCCTGGCTCACTGGGTTCCCTGCCTTGCCCAGTGAGTAAGGAAGGTCACTGCCCGGCAGGGCCAGGGACCTCAGGATGTGGGGACCTCAAGAAGAGAGGAATTCACCCAAACCTATAGGTACTGCAGGCGAAGTCTGGTGCTGAGTCCTTGGCTTGGCTTCCTGGACTCAAGAGGCCCTGTGAAAAGGCCAGCAAAGCAGACTTAAAAAGAGCCTATGTGGTCAGTCGCTGTTGTGGCTAAATTTCTTCAACAATCAGGCCAAGTTTAGTGAGGCTAGGCTTATTTGTAAGACAGTTAGTGTCATTGTGACTCTCTTTGGTAGAAAGCGGGCTGGCTGTGGAGAGAAGTGACCTTTCAGTAGGAAACTATGATCTGCCTGATGGAGCAGGGTCCAGTCCTGACCTGGGCCTCGAGGCCCAGACGCCTGTAAACTGGACCGGGTGCTGAAATCTCCCAGTCTCCCCCACTGTCTGGCTCTGACTCTCCATACTAACGTTTCCGCTTCTCTCCCACCCTTCTGACCTGGAATCACAAGGACCAAAACTGCTGTTTCCCAAAGCCCTGCAAACTGACATGAACTTCAGGCAGTCACCTCGACAGGTCGCGGCAACGGCGGGCCACTGGGAAAGCTCCTGAGAGACTAGGGCTGCGTCGAGGGTCTCCATGCTGTCCCCTCCCCACCTACTGCCCACACACAGAGGCCTCACTGGTGGGAGCCCACCCACAATCCCCTTCCTGAACTGAGTCTGAGGGGACGGGCTGTCCCAGGACTGAGGGTCAGTGAGACACGGGAGCTGGTGCTTATCTGGCTCCTTTCTGCTCGTTCCATCTGTTTCCCCTCCCCTTCGCCGACCGCCTAGCCCACAACTTCTAACCCAAATCTCTCCACAGCTACCAACTTGGCTTTTAATATGTGAAACTTTCTGAAGCTAAAGTCTCAAGTGGGGAGGAGACAAACCCCATATGGGAGCTGCGCCCCGCCCCCCGACCAGGAGAAGACGGGAGCCGGCGATCATGTTACCATCACCCCCGGCTCCCTTCGGCTGCCCCAGTGTTTCAGCCACTTGCCCACAATCGCCTCCTTGTTCTACCTGATGTGTAAGCGCTGAGGTTCTGCCACTTACTTGGGACTCCACTTCCTCCCGTGTCCCGTAAAACCTGTACACGTTTCTGTACTTTGCTGCTCCTGTCTTACGTCAGCTTATCTCAGGCCAGCTGAAACTCCCCGCGAGGGAAGAGGCAGTCCTACCCGCGCCCACCCCGCGGGCCTGGAGCCACCGTGTCCTCCTGGGGTCCTGCCCCCACCTCCCAGGACGAGGCCCCGTCATGCTCGCTGCCTCTGCCCACCCCACTGGCCCCTCCTTCCCAAGGCCATCTAGGCTGGCTCATGCCAAAGCTCACCTGGGCCACACAGGCTAGTGCCTGGGCAGGTGGCGTTGGTGTCCACCACGTCCACACAACACTTGGGCTGCTGGCCCTAGAGGGGAGATGGTGGTGAGTTTCCAGACCCTGTGGCCGGGCAGCTTGCGCGGGCCAGGGCCAGGGCGGTATCCGCAGAGGGGCTCCCAGCAAGCTCACCCCAACACCTGGGGCTCTGGCCTCCTGTAGTCAGCGTCCGGTGACTGTGCCTTGCTGACCCAGAGCAAGGTGAGGACACACGGCCACACCGCACGGACGCTCCCTGGGACAGCACTTGGTGTCCGGCGAGCGTTTGGTGGCTGAACCAACAACCGAAGTGTTGGGCTGGGACCTGCCAGGGCACATTCCGTGGCACCTGGACTCCCAAAGGCAGGAATCCCTCGGGGGATCCCTCGGGCCACCCCAGGTTCTGTCGGGGGCGGGGCTGGGGCAGCCCGTGGGCAGGGGGCGGCCCTCGCCTCCACCGCCCGCCGCCCTCCCCGGGGGCCCCGCAGCCCTTTCTTTTCTCACGGGGGTCGCCTGGGTCATGGGAAGAGCCGCCACCTCTCGCCTTGTGGGCCACAGGTGGGCACAGGGCAGGCATTTCAACCGTGAAGTTAGTTATATTAGTCGCCACTTGCAGCTGGTGGCTTTGAAAATCAAAAGATGAAGCTGCTAGGAAGGGAAGCACACGTGTCTCTGGGCAGTTGGTGAAACAGGAAGAAAACTCCAGGCCCCCTCGGCCTCCCTAGTGAGAGGCCTGTGCAGCCCTCACAGTGCATCTGCCCGCGCTCCCGACCAAACAGCCCACATTCCTGGGCGCTTGTGTGATCCTTCTGCAAGACTACAGGCGCCTCCATCGGGGGTCCAGCTCAGCCCCCACAGGGGAAAGGCCAGGCCCGCGCGCAGGAGTGGGCGCTGCGGGCACTGCACTCACAGACCAGGCGGCGGCAGGGGCCTCGGGGGGCGTCCGGGCAGCTCCGCTCCGTGCGCTCAGCCCAGCCGAGCTGGTTTCCCAGGACTGGCACGCTGTGATTTGCAAGGGGCACCTCAGGGCGGCTGAGGAATGGCGGGCGCATCCTGGACTCCAGGGGGCCAAGGCCAAGCCCAAGGGGGATGCCTGGCCGTCCTGTCCCACCCAAACCGGCAGGGGCAGAGTGACTGGAAGGCCCACCATCCTGGAGGACAAGCAGCTGGGTGTGTGCACACATGGCCGGGCACCTCCAGAAACCACAGCCTGGCACACCTGTGTCACCGGCTTGGGAGAGCCATGACCTGGCCGAGTCTGAGCCTGAAGTGGGCGTCTCTGTCCGCCCCACTAGCTGTGGCCACTGCCAGTGGGGGCAGCTCTGTGGAGACCCTATTTCAGCTCCAGAAAGAGGTCTAGTTGGGCAGAGGGAAAGGAGGTCCTAGCAGGCAGAGTGGAGCGGGTGCCAGGGGCCGGGCTGTGCGTCTGCCGCCCGCCCAGAGGCACATGCCCCTCTGACCCTGGCAGTGGGTACGGCCAGCATCTCGGGGGCCGGGACAAGGGTGGCACCTAGAGGTGGAAGGGCGAGCCCCTGGTTGAAGAGCCCACGAGCCACGTGACGGGTGCTCACCACACTTCCTGAGGATCTACTGGCAACTTCCACCAGGAGGCTGGCCAGGAGGACGGCGCGCTGGAGCGCCATGTCCCGGAGCTCAGGGTCTGCGAGAGAGAGGGGTGCCGTGTGGCCACAGGCGACGCCTGGCAGGGCAGGGCACCGGGCGAGGGCCAGGGTGCAGGATGCTTACCTGGCCCTCCTGGAGCCCGGCAGACCCTCGGTCCGGGGCCTGCAAGTCGAGGTGGACAGGTGAGGCCGCGCTGCTGGCCAAGTGCAGCCAAACCACACCTGGGGCTCGGGCTCCAGCCGGACTTTTCATGAGGAGCCCCCCGGCTCGGCCCACCCGGCCAGGATCTGACGGACTCACTCCCTCCTCCGCCACCTCCCCACCGTCCACTGCTGCCTCCTGCCTCCGGGAAGAAGCGCTGAGCAGGGCGGGTCTGGGTGAGCCAGTCCTGCCCCGAGCTCGGACGGCCCTCCCGGCCGCCGTGTCATCCTGTCCTCATGAGACCCGAATTCGATTTCCAGTATTTTCACCCAGAGACGGAATGGCAAGGGTGCCTCTGGGGCGGCCAGGCTGGTCAGGACCCCTCGGTCTTACAGTTTTGTGCCGTCTGCCCTGTTGTCATCACGGGAGGGTGTGTGAAAAGCATCCAGCTGGGGCAATAAAAGCCATGGCACAGGCAGTACTGGGTGCAGGTGCCTCTGGCGGGGTGATGGATCCAGAGCGCAAACAGACAAAATACCACCACAGACTGCAAGTAAACTTCCTAACGCTAAAACCACATGAAACGCGACAGCCCACATGATTCGGTGCTCACGGTGCCACACTTCTAACGTAACCGGGGAAACGCACCGGCCTGCACAACCCCGGAAGTAAATCGTTAGTCGGGTTTTTATTCTGAAAGGTGGGAACCACAATTATAATCTGTCCCAAACACATAAAAGTCCCCTCTAAAAACACTTTTTTCTTAACAAAAACAGCTGCAGGGTGGAGCTGCGCGTGAGGGGGGCTGGTTCAGGTTCCACAAAGGGCGCGCTTGGGGCTTGGGGACGAGAAGCCCCTCCGCCCACTGGCCCAGGGCCTGGGGGTCCCGGGCTGGGGTCTGTCCTGCCATTCGCTCTGTGCTGCCTTTAGTCCAGGCTGATGGAGCAGACACCGCCCCTCCCCACCCCACGTCAAGTCCCCCCATTAAAAACACCTGCTCTTGGGCCTCCCTGGTGGCGCAGTGGTTGAGAGTCCGCCTGCCGATGCAGGGGACGTGGGTTCGTGCCCCAGTCCGGGAAGATCCCACATGCCGTGGAGCGGCTGGGCCCGTGGGCCATGGCCACTGAGCCTGCGCATCCGGAACCTGTGCTCCGCGGCGGGAGAGGCCACAATGGTGAGAGGCCCGCGTACCGCAAAAACAAAAACAAAAACAAAAAGAACACCTGCTCTTTCCTGGGCACCATCCCCTTCCTAGAATGTGAAATCCCCTCAGGTGGCAACTACTGGTGTCACAGCCGCATTGACACCTTTGATTCAGGAATCAGGTCTCAGTCGACACCTCTGTCTGCTACTCAGTGGACACGGCTAAGTACAGTGTCCACACCGTGCAGCCCCTCCATGGCCCCCGCCTGCCCGGCCAAGCCCTGCCGCTGCACGTGGACGGTGTCTTCTGGAATTTCAGGAGAACGGACCACACTGTCCGCCACCTCGTGTCGGGCTCCTGCCCTTCAGTACGGCCACGGCAGTCTGCAGATTCCTCTGTACTTTGCCCTCTCGTGGCTGAGTGGCATCCACTGCAAGGACACTTCCCTTGCCCGCTGCCTGCTGATGGCCATGTGGCTGTTTCCACATTTTGGTGGCTAACGCTGCTGGGGACGTTCTTGGGCCCGTTCCTGCACAGTTGCTTGCTTTCCTTCCTCTTGGGTAAATACTTAGAAACACCAGGTCAAGGGGACTCTCTGGGAAGCTGCCCTGCTGTTCTCGGGCAGCAGCTCCGTGTGCAGTGGGCGGCTCACCTGCTCTGGCCCTGCCAGCTAGCGGCCTCGCACCGGTGGGCGGGCAGCGGTTCTCCTGCTGTTCCAACCTGCGTTTCCCTGGTAACTAGCGACAGTCAGCACCTCTGTCCTGCTTGTCAGCCATTCACACATCTTACATCTCTCGTAATGCATCTATTCACATCTTTGGGCCACGCTGTTTGGCTGGGTCATCTGTCTATTATTATGTGCTAACCCTTCATGTATCTTGTCAGATATATGTACTGTAAATATTTTCTCCCATTTTGTGACTTGTCTTTTCATTTTCTAATGGGTATCTTTAGAAGAACAAATGTTTTCATTTTGATAAAATCGAATGCAGCCATTTTTTTCTTTTATGGTTCTTGCTTTTTGCGTCCTAAGAAATCTCTGCCTTGACCTCAGGGTCATAAAGATTTCCTGTATTTTCTTTGAGTTGCTTTTGTGTCATGGTGTGAAGTAAAGATCAAGTTCATTTTTCTTCCCTATGTATATCCAGTTGTTGTAGCACCATGTGTTAAAAAGACTTTCCTTTTCATATTAAATTATCTTGACATCTTTGTTGAAAATCAGTTGTCTGTGTGTGGGTCTACTTCTGGACTTTCTATTCTGTTCCATTCATCTGTGTGTCACCAGTACCACACAGTCTCAACTACTGAAGCTTTACAGAAAGCCTGAAGTCAGGTAGAGTGAAGCCCTGCTTTGTGTAATTGCTTCGGCAATTCCAGGTCACCTGCATTTCCATGTTTTAGAATCATCTTGTCAATTACTACAAAAAGCCTTCTGGAATCTTGACTGGGATAACTGACATTTTAACAATATTGAGTCGTCTAATCTACAAACATGCTCTCTCTCCATTTCTTCAAGTTGTCTTTGTTTATTTTTTAAAATATTTATTTATTTATTTGGCTGCGCCGGGTCTTAGTTGCGGCACGCGGGATCTTTTTTCAGTTGCGGCACGTGGGACGAGTTCCCCGACCAGGAATTGAACCTGGGCCCCCTGCATTGGGAGCACAGAGTCTTAGCCACTGGACCACCAGGGAAGCCCCTTCAAGTTGTCTTTAATTTCTCTCAGCAATGTTCTGTGGCTTTCAGTGGAGAGGCGCTCTTACACATCTTTTGTTAAACATTACTAAATATTTTGTCTTTGGGTATTACTGTAAATATAATTAACTCTAATTTCTTTTTTCTTTCTTTTTTTTGAACAACACTTGAATGACCTGTAATGTGCTTAGAACAAATCACTTTACAAAAAGCACGAACACTTTTTAAAACATAACTTTGGGGGCTTCCCTGGTGGCGCAGTAGTTAAGAATCCGCCTGCCAATGCAGGGGACACGGGTTTGAGCCTTGGTCTGGGAAGATCCCACATGCCGTGGAGCAACTAAGCCCGTGAGCCGCAACTGCTGAGCCTGCATGCTGCAACTACTGAAGCCCACACGCCTAGAGCTCGTGTTCCGCAACAAGAGAAGCCACCGCAATGAGAAGCCCACGCATCACAACAAAGAGTAGCCCCTGCTCGCCGCAACTAGAGAAAGCCCACACGCAGCAATGAAGACCCAACATAGCCAAAAATAAACACATTAATTTTTTTAAAAAGTAACTTTGGACACTGCACAAATTAAAATAATAACAACACAGTCGCATGGTCTGATCCTCTAAACTGGACTTTAGGAATCTCTGAGCAATTTACTAGAATTCTAAATGTTCATCCAATGAGCCTAGGTATGTTTCTACAGATCTGAATGTTGCTCTGAGAACAGGTGCTCAAAGACGAGTTCCCTCTGTCAATCTCCACAGTTTTCCCAGGTCAAGTCACCTGTGAACCCATCTGCAACCTCACTCCTTAGAAGTGTCCTAGGAAATAAACCAGCAGGAAGTGCTGGGCAGAAACTGATTCCCAGGAGACATACGGATAATCAAGTCAAACGTGAAACATTCTATTTGAAAGAGAAAAAAAGCAAAAAAAGATGCACCAATACACATCGTTCAAGGAACAGAAGTTTCTACTAAAAGGCAAAAGTTGCACAGCAGCAGTTACAACTTTTAATGGTATTTTCTGACACTGAAAGACATATCCTGCCATATATCTTGCAGGGAAACTTTCAAGAGGGGTCATGCCTAATCTCTCCCATAAACTTAAAAATGGCCAAATCTGAAACTCACCAAGCCGTTTTGGAGACGGGGAGCGGGGCCACAGGCGTTAGGTGCCGGCGTTTATGGCCATCAGGAGTCAGCGTTTTATTCACTAGCCCCTAGCTGAAGCACTCTACCCTTTACTAAAGGACTTCATGCTCTTGCTAAAAACCCACGCCATCAAATGTCCCCCTGCTCTAACCACAGAGCGGTCTGCAATGTAAGCCACCTGCTCCTCTGTTTTCCTTGAGGCCAGATTATCACCGGCCAGGACTTCTGTATAAGGACCTTCCCCACGCTTGAAGTGGTGTATTAAGTCAACCGCAGGCCAAGCTCTTTAACATTTTCTCTAACATTTTCTGTCGGAATTACTTCTCTGCCCCGGACGGGCGCCTGCTCTACACCTCTCGGGGTTGGGCAGCCCCGGATGTGCTAACTGTCCTAACAGAGGTATGTCCACAGGGTAACCTGAGCCAGTGCTGACTGTCATGGTGACGCGACATCAGAAAGTTTGAAAAGCAGAGTGGGAGCTGCAAACCCACGTGAACGGTTCAGGTTAAAACAGTCAAGTTCAGAGTAATACTGGCAGACAGGGGAGGAAAAGAGCGTGCGAAAAGATGGTCTAATTCGCCTGCGTGAGTCGATCACACTTGGTAAGGCGGTGGGACTCGAAGTGAAGAACGGAGAGGCACACTGAGGGGAAAGAGGCCACAATGGAAGGCAGCGGTAACCCAAGGTCAGAGGAACAGAAGCACCTCAGTCTGTGCTCCTGCAAAATATACACAGTAATCTGCCAGCCGTCATGCTTAATACGGTGTGTTGCCTCTGGAGTCTGCAGGAGGAAGCGGTGAAGGGCGCAACATTTCAGAGGTTTTCCAGGGTAATTTCACGCTCTGCAGCCCCGGCTCTCAGACAGCGGCAGAGTCTGATTCTACTATGTCTTGTCCTCC